CATATAAGCTAGATTAAGCTATTGTGTGATTGTTTAACCAAAGGTGTATTTTGGAACCTCTTAATTCTATTTGCAGACTGGCTGAAATAAAAAAAAGAGTAGCCCATGTGTTCTTCCAGACTATCTTCTACGTCTATGCCAAATTTCATCGAGATCCGTTCAGTCGTTTAGGCTATAAATTTCTATTCATCTAAACTTTCGCATTTATAATATTAGTAGGAATTAGTATTACAATCTTACTAATATTATAAATGCGAAAGTTTAGATGAATGGATGGATGGATAGATAAATGTTTGTTAGAGTTTCTAGCCTAAAAGGCTGAACTGATTACGATGAAATTTAGTACAGATGTAGGGGATAGTCTGAAAGAAGCCATAGGCTATATATACTAACTTTTTTTTTTAAATTCCACACGGACGGAGTCGCGGGCGGTAGCTAGTATTAGTATTATTATTATAATTATTACTTACACGACGTCATCATCGGTCCATAACAGAATCTCGAGAACGGTATGCGGTGTGTTGGTGCGACCAGCCGCAGTCCAGAGGTTGGCGTTCACGTCTGATACTTGTACAATTTGCTTGTATAGAGTACCATTTACAGACTGCAATTAGAATTTTTTTATAACATAAGGTGGAAAATGAGCAAGCGGCCACCGGAATCCGCCAAAATGGCGAAGCGACCGCTGCCCATAGACATCCGCAATTGCAAATGCGTTGCCTACCATTATACGACAGAGGAGGAGACGCACATAAAGAGGATATTTAACCTTCCTATGCATCTCCTCCACCATCAAATCCACTTCCCCTTCCTATCCTTTCCTTATAAGAAAAGGGTAGTAAAGAAAAAGTGACTTAAAATAGGCCTCAGGCACCACACTCATCAGACGAAATACGGAATTGCTTCCACTTCACGCCTGTATTCTGATCGTGGTAGTACTGGGGGCGAGCCGACGTATTCGTGCTAAGATGTTAAAGCGGGCACTACCACTGTTAAAAATGACTCATAACGATGAACAAATGCAATAGAACAAAGTTTAATATGGTAATACTGTGAATAGGATAAATAACAAACCTGAGGAAGAATGGTTATAAAGGAGTTGCCAGCTTCATTAAAGAAGATGGGGATATTATCAATCCAGCCATTAGGTTCTGTATATTGGTAGATCTGGAATATAATTAATTTTTGTTAGAGTGTTTGTTCACGAGTTATAATTCTAAGAGAGCCCTAAGATCTAAGATACAAAACTTAAGGCGATGTTTCTTTGAAACAAAATTAACTGAAGGTATTTATTAAGTCTTTATTACCGAAACTAAGAATAAATTTACTATTATAATACTTAACATATAATTTTATTTTTAACAAATAAATGGTTTTGATTTAACTGAAGGTACTCGTATAGTGGTGTTTAATACTAAACAAGATTAGATCTAAAAAAAAAATACATACGCGAGAGCAAGAGGTCTCGTTTTGCGTGCAAAGTTCGACTTGCAGCGAGGTTTGCGCGCGGTTTGTCCACATTAGAGCAATCGTGGTGTTATCGACGAAGTTAACAGTCTTCAAAATAGGCCTGGAAAGTGATGTTTCTATTAAATACGCTGCATTATTTGCTGCATTTAATTTTTCAAGAGTGAAGATGCCAGTCTTGAATCAGAAATCTATTCGAAAACACAATAACACAATTTAGTTTTTGTAATTTTTGTTAGCAATGTTTAAAGAATTATCATTAACCTCGGTAAAAAGTTAAAAACGACTGTACTTACTCGTTCAAGTCAGTAGGCGCATTATATACTGTCTCCGCGCCTGATGCAATGTCACGCAGCGTCACTCGCACCGTTGGGTTGGTGGTGCCCGGCTGAAAATTGTATATATTTAAAATTAGACGTAAAATGATGCGTTAGAGCGGGGGCACACCTTTGACTAAACTATCGCACAACTGTTGTGCGATTGTCGATTGTTTCGCAGCCAATTCAACTATTTAGTTGCACAACTAAAAATCGAGTAGTGCACCTCCATATAAGCTCTTAGGAATCAAAGTGCGACTAAACAGTTATGCGATAGTTTAGTTTTACGTGTGAGTACGCTCTAATAATGTATTTCAAAATGATTTTTATTGAAAATTTTAAAACAATGTCCATTTTTTTGGGTTTAAGATATAAAAAAAAAAGTGTCATGACATTGTTAACGTAGAAAGTTCTGTATATTGCGACAAAAATGAGATTTGTATTACTTCTTAACTTACATCTAAAATCACATCAAGCGATCGAATTACATTTACCATAAGAATAAATGTTATTTATTTACGTAAACAATCAACACCTCAACTTACATAAACCTTACGAACGCATACAAACAACTCTATAAACTTGTGATGAAACAGGTTATGACGCAAACGCTCGTAATATCCGGCGTTAACTCTCACTGGCTGCAGCAAAAAACTTTATGCGGACTAAAAAACTGGAATCCACGTAAAGGTGAAGTAAGCGGAGTACTACCAAACAAGATAATCCGCAACACATAAATGCATTAGCAAGATTACGTATACCTATAGCAATTATTTTAAATTACAAACTCATTTGAAGAATAAAAAAAACACAAAAGTAAATAGCCTATGTTTTTTTCCAGACTATCCACTACATCTATGCGAAATTTCATCAAGATTTATTCAGCCATTAAGACTAGAAATTCTAAAAAACATCCATACATCTAAACTTTCGCATTTCTTATGTATTAACATATTTAATTTGATTGTTAATAAAATAGGCGAAGGAGAGAAGACTAAATAAATCACAATAAACTGTCATAGTTAAGGACATTTTGGCTACTAATTGTAAAGAATATTTATTCAGATGTTGCTTTAGAGTGTTATTACCTTGGGATATCTGATCTCGTGGTGCTGCGTGTACTGGTAGTCGACGGAGCCGGGCACGCCGAAGTGCGGTACTTTCATGATGCGCACATTAGTGTCGTCAAATGTCGCGTACGCCAGCTTGCTGCCGTCCCGAGAGAACCAGAGCGCGTTGTTCGATACGAACACTTCCTCTGAAATAGCAAAAATAATCAAAGACATACAATAGATCGGTCAGATTAATTACATTATAGTTTAGCATTTATGTAAAACAAAGGATTATTTAAGATAGCTTTCGCCCGTGACTCCGTCCGCGTTGAATTAAAAGTAAGTAGCATAAATGTTCTTTTAGACTATGCTCTCCATCTGTGCTAAATTTCATCGAGATTCATTCAACACTTTAGACGACAAACTTTAACAAACATCCATCCATGCAAACTTTCGCATTTGTAACATGAATAAGATTAGTAAGATAATAAGCACATAAATCAAGCAATGTCGACCTTTCCAACTGCATACTGGCAACGATCAATAGCAAACATATTCACGCAAGTAATAAATACAAACCTTCGTAAACCCAATCCGGTATGCCATTGTAAATGACACTGACTTCGCCATTGCTTGTCACCTGTTGCGGTTGACTGTCTAACGAAGCTTGGTAGTAGATGTTGTTGCGGTAAACGAACACTAAAGATGTTCCCGACGGGCCCCATACGAAGTTCTGTAGCAACGCATCTTCAGGGCGAACGCCAGGTGGAACTATGTCTATCGCCTGGCCAGAGGTGATGTTTATAGCGGCATAGCGCCCCAGGAAACTATATCTGTACACCTGGAAATAAATAAGTAAAAATAAATTTAAATAATTCGCATAAGTATGACAAAAATCTGTTCATACAAATGATGCTATGACGTATACATAGCAACAAAGATTACATCCGGATGATACGTACAAATAACATTTATGTACGTAGTTAACTAAAATTTGATAGAGAAATAACATTAAATAATTCTTCCTCGCGAGAAATAGGTTGATCTACATAATTGAATTTGTAGCGACTTCCTAAAAATTATATTGTTATTTTAACTAAGGCCTGTCCTACTTGGCTGATAGAGACTCAGATAGCTTAAAATGACGTCACTGTCAGTTAAGTTAATAAAATTCAATATTTCCATCACATATTTTATACGTCGGATTTTTATCAGACAATTCACAATTTGGTGGGACAGACCCTAAGAGTTGTAAACTGCTTTTTTTACAAAGACAGAGAGATGTCAGGAAGACGAATATATAGAGTTTCCATAAATGATAGAGTACTGTAAACTATGATGGTTATAATACTTTTTATTACTAAGTCCAATGTCGAATTTAACCTACATGACAAATCACAAAATAAACGACGATACCCGTATTCAGGGTTACGTATCTAAATCACATATGGAATTGGAACTGTCGTAGTTAACATGCGCCATCGAACAATCCTACAGTTGGCATACAAATAAGTCATTGTATCGACTTCCGTGACTTAATAAAAGCGTTTTATTACTAGCCTGATGATAAGCTTAAAATACCTTGAGGGTTAACTAAACACACGATTTATAACTTTAAATTCTTGTACTAAAGTGAAATCCACCGAACTATTTTGTACATTTTGTAGCTATTTCCCTTAAGCCATGTACTCTTACTTTGACAGAGTCTAGTGTGACGAAAAACTAATTTAAAAATTGTACTGAACTAGAGAATACATGTCTTCCGTCAAATTAAGGGATACACAATACAAGATAAATAATACAAAGATATCGATTTGTGCTCTATACCACAAGGTCTAATACTCGTATTGTTGGTTCTACTTAATTTGTAAATACTGCTAAGTTGGTAATACTAAAAGTGTTATGACTTGACATTAAACGATTGAGTTATTACACTCTTTCTAAACGCTTAATTTTTAATTATGTCCAGCTTTATTTAAACAGCTAAATTTCGCCCGCGACTCCTTTCGCGTGGAATTAAAAAAACAAAAGTGAGTAGCCTATGTGTCCTTACAAACCATCCACTACATCCATACCAAATTTCATTGAAATCCGTTAAGCTGTTTAGGCTACATATTCTAACAAATATCCATCTATCTAAAGTTTCACATTTATAATATTAATATTAGTATGAATAAGTACAAAATTGTATAAAGTAAATAGTACATTTTCTTCAGGCAAAGATTTCTCAAAGAGTTAAGTTAAATTTATAAGTAATCTGAACAATGTAGGAGGTGGAACACCTTTTACAAAACGCACTCGTGAGCGTTATCAACGATCGTGATTGCCGGAGGCTGTATGAATATAAAGTGTATCATTAAATGTCTGCCGCGGAGTATGCTGTGAACCGAAACGTGTTATCTTAAATACTTCCGTCCTAAACAAATGTCGCATACATTTTACTCTTACACTTTTTACAGTGAACTGCAGTCTTGAAACATATATTAGAGAGCAACGTTGTTGTAATACAGTTGTTACAATGTAAACTCACCTTAAGAATTAGAATTTCTGACAATACTTTTAAGTAACTACAGTAAGGTTCTGTTGAGATGTTAAAATTCTGGTTAAAACCTGCCACAAAATAATAATAAAATATTCATGAATTTGAATTGAAGGTTTTAAACTTTTCCATATTTTTATAAACTTCATTAATTATTTACAACAGACAGGCTTTCGTTTTTACAAAGGCTCAGATCTTTCAGAGAATTTATAGTGAAAAATTTATGTTTATTCAGTTAATATTAATAACAGTCAATACTTTAAGTGATCGAGTACTTAATTTTATGAATTGTTAAGCGTTTATAATCCAGATAGCGTTGTTATAAGGTTGACGACCTTGTAGTCCAGCGGCGAGCGTACCTGACAACTATAGTTCCGGATATGAATCTCGAACGTATTCAATCATACCACGATGTATAACAATATTGTACAATATTGTACTAGTAAAAAAGTGCTAAATTTATTTTTTTTAATAATTTTGAATTAAGTCATAAATTTAGAGGAAGCGACTACTAAGCCAATGGAGATAATCCTGATCTATCCTAATATAATAAAGCGTAAACACACACTTCTTTGTTGCCTAAGATGTCAGCAATCACAGCATATTTTCGAATAACTCTTTTTTAATAAAAAGCTCTACACTTAGTCACGCTTTAGCCTATATATTTTTTTAACGCCGTTAAACTTAGGGGTAAATATTTTGGATAAAAACCCTAATGTGGGAAAGAGACCATAAGTTGTTGTCAACATCAAGAAAGCAAGGTTGCCATGGTTTGACATTATGTCATGTCATTTTGACATTTGCAATTGATAACTTGACAATTGTGAACAATAAAATATTTTTTTTATCATTTTATGCGGATGAAGTCGCATGGGAACAGCTAATATCAAATAAAGTAGAGACCGTTATTAGGATAGTAATTAAACATTTCTTAAATTAATAAAGTAATATAAAGCGAAATAAAGAAACTTACAGGAACAACATTGTAAGACAGCACCACGTGCAAGCCATCAGGCGACAACGCGGTTACTCTTGATGATTGCTGAAGAATCTGGAATAAGTTAGGTAAATCCATTAAACACAGTTGTTTCGTGTAAAAAATCGCTTAAATGTTAATGTAAATGTAGAGACTCGTGTTAGGTTCTCATTTTAAAAACAAAAGCAAAACTGACTGTTCACTTCGAGTCGAATTTAATGACATCAGTAAGCGATATCGTAAATTGATTAGCAATTCCTAAACTGCTAGTTTGTTTATTCGTCGCCAAACTTGACCTATTTCGTAGTAAGTTGCAATTTCGTCAGCGGCGAGGTTGTGCAACCAAGTTTATAGGTAAATAGATTTTCTCGACTCGCGATGCTAAAATTCAATAGCAACTTCACTAATAGTTTTTACACACAATACATTTGTAAATTACTATATATTAATTACTAAGATTGATTTTATTTGCAGATTTTACTTTACATCGATATTTCCAGTCTTCTATAACGTTATTTTAAAGTTAACGTAGTTGAAGTTTTACGATTTGTTCAAAAACAACACTAAATTCGAACATAAACATAAACATACCTGTGAAGAATTAGAAATGAGAACGGTTGTACTGTCTGTATCCACTTGGTACAACACCAGGTCACCATTTAGGTTTCTGAAGAGCACTTCGTTAGCTGGAACATCATAAAATTTACATATGTTAAGGATAAGGATATTATGCGTGTACGTTTTATGAATACTTTATACTACTCAATTAGAAATACAACAAGTATGTAGTATGAACAGTATTTAAACATCATCAATCTTTATTGTCTACTGTCTCTAAATAAAACAAATACGTACCTGATGTCCAAGTACCGTTGAATGAGGGTGCTGCAAATACTCCATTGATTATATCTTCTAGTTCTATCGGCAACGTATCTGGTGGTGCAGTTATAGGTGCTTCGGTTGTTGTTGTAGTTGTAGTCGTCGTCGTCGTTGTTGTTGTTGTCGTTGTTGCTGGATCTAATGTTGTTGTTGTCGTTGTTGCTGGATCTAATGTTGTTGTTGTTGCTGGATCTAATGTTGTTGTTGTTGGATCTAATGTTGTTGTTGGATCTACTGGGGGTGCGAATGTTGTTGTTGTCGTCGTAGTCGTTGTTGTGGATGGATCTAACGGCGATGTTGGACCTTCTGTTGTAGATACAATGGGTTCAGATGGACCTGCCTCATTGCCGGAGAGGACAACAACTAGTGTTATCACAACCGCTATCACAGCCACCATCGCGATGAAGCCGATTATATATGTTAATGTTTTCTTTTTCTTCGTTGCAACCAGTACCTAATCAATGAAAGATTTTAATTTTGAATTTAATATTTATATGTCAAACCAAATACTTCTGCGATTCTGGCTCAAAACGAAATACTAAAATAACGTTTTAATTCGGCTTAAACAAAAGTAAAATTCAATTTAAATTTAATAAAAAACCACGTGAGGCAATACAACCACTATATTAAAAAATTCCATTTGCCACAATGAATATTATCTCTGGATGATATAAACAAGAGTACCTCTTATTTTACGCACGCTGTACAACACTCATTAACAATTCATAGATAACAAACTTATAACAAACACAATCACACGCGAATATCGAGACAATATTCCGTAATCAATATCCGCTAGCTACTGAATAATCTTAAACAGGCAAATGTACTTGAGATAATTTTCTGCCTACAATACGTTTCGCTTTGTTACTGTCACATTCATCTCGACACAAACCAACAAATACAATAAAAATTGAACTTTAAAACAATACAATAAGATTGATAATTATTTCTCATTGCTTTTAAATATTGACGGTAAAAAAAGCGAGATGCAAAAAGGTCATTTATTTTTAGAAATAATAATTCCAAATGTGTTCACGAAAATTTTAAATAATTTAAGAAACATTATAATTGTAAGCAACAATTTAAATACTTTTGATTCCAGGAAATCAGTCAAGGTCAAATAAATCAAAACATTAACTCAATATCACTAAAATCTTTCAACGCATAGTTATTATCTTACGGTACTAAATACGCTATTAAATTATTAAGTTATTATTTTTAGCAATAAACAATTTATTTATTTTCCGATCAAAATATCAGAAGTATAATAGTTTAAAAACGTATTTTCACCTATTTATTAATTTACTTAAGTCTGGCAGGAGATAAATATTAAAAGAGAAATAAAAACTAATTCCCCTACACCTCCTTTTATTATTTAAAGGTTACGGTCGCCGCTAAATGTAAACCACTAACTTGTTTCCTTATCAATTATCACATTAAAGTGTTCACGCATTAGTTATAAAAATATTACCTGGTCACTGGTCCCCATCTCCAACGTGGAGTTACTGTTTTCTTGTGCCATTATTCCTACTTATCGTACCTGAAATAGATTAAAATAGTTTATTTTTACAGTATTATTTCATAGCCTTCTTTTTATAAATTCACAATCAAGATAATTAACTATTATAATCACGCAACAACGAGGAACAAAAAACTAAAGGCCTAAGTTAAGACTTTGTTTAATTAAACACAAGTTTTAACTCTAATCGTCGTTGACTGATATTATTGTCAACGTAATAAAAATGTATAACCACACTGCTTTCGGTATAAATACTTTATTATATCACACGCAACTTCTGGTTAAAAAAAAACAAGTGAGTAGCCAACGTATTCTTCCAGAGTTCCAGAGTATGGCATAGATGTAGCCAAATCCATCAAGATCCGTTCAGCAGTTTAGGCTACAAACTCTAACAGACATCCATCTAAACTTTCGCATTTATAATGATAGATTGGTCTAGATCGCAGTTCGTAAGCCTACACACATTTAAATAATCAGTCAATAAAATTGTCACAGTATGGTATTGGTTTACGTATGTTTTAGCTTAAAGTATATTGCTTAGGCTATTGTTAATTGCTTACAGCAATAAGGCCACCCTTGCGTAAATCTCGTCTTAACTTTTAAGTATGTTTTTGTAACTTGTGTGTAAAAGAATGAATAAATAAAAAAAATTAAAAAAAACATACAGACGAATTGAGTACCTCCTTCTTTTGGGAAGTCGGTAAAAATTTAAACACTATCTAAGTTTCTTTTTTTGGTATAGTACAGCCTATTTCGAAATACATCAATTCATTTTAATTCAACAACTTAGTATTCCGAACACGTAACTAATTTTGTTTCCAGTTAATCAAGTGTCGTCAAAAGGGTTACAAACAGACCTAAATAAAGTGGATGTTTAGAAGTCGTAAGACCGGTAAGAAGGCAGTAAATAAACATAGACCTAACCTAACTTGCTTACCTCGATTGGGTATCTATGCCAATGAACTATGAAATTCGTTAAACTTTAGTAAACATTAACAGCCTTATAAAAAACTTAGGAATAATCTGAGTATAAGCAAATATTAGTACAAATTTTGCTTATACTTATTTTATTCCTAAGTTCAACTTCATACCGCGCTTATTTGCAAAGCTGAAAATTTTTACATAATATTTTAATTTTTCTATTTATTTTTAGTAATTATTAGGCATTTATTCGTTGTCTCGTTAATTTATCAGGTAATATTAGATTTAAATTAAACAATTTGGGATTTTACATTTTTATACAATCAAAAAACGATTTGATAGCCCAATAATATTATAAGATGTAAAATAAAGAAATTATCATAATCTTTTGTGATAACGCTGGCTATATCTTGAAATTGTAACATATAATCGTAAAACGAAGTACTAACGTTTATCAGCACATTCGTATCTTCCAAATTGTTGTCATAAATTTCTTTATACTAAGTAAGATAACCGAATTGTTAAATCAGCCATAAACATAATCTACATTCAACGTAACAAATTATTAGAATAATAACCGAATAATACTCTATTTTTACATTATTTCATCTGAACTTTTCCACCTCCCAATTAATAATATCTTTAACTAGAAGTTTTTTTAACATAATACAACATATTGGGTCGTTACATGTATATTTTTTTCATTTGGGAAAAGACATCACAGACTTTTTTCTCTTATTTTCCAAATGTAATAGTACAATGACCATTGTTGATTATTAAAATGGAACAATAAATACGTACACAAAATGGGCCGTTGTTTGTTGTATTCTTTCGTATAAAAGACAAATAAAGACAATAGATGAGGGATAATTTTAGTATAATTACGAAGAACTATTAAGAATATGAAACTTAAATTGTTTTGTGGCAGGCTCTTAATATGAAACTAACTAACTATTCATATTAAATATGAAAATTTGTGTACTAATCTATCAATTATTGGTTTTATTTATTTATTCTTTTTTAAACACAGCTTTTTATGCATATTACAAAATGGTCAAAATTATTAAAAACGCCTATTGCGTTACTATAATAAAAGCAAAGAATTGTAAAGGTCCTTGAAGCCGGTCCCACTACTGTCCCTAAGTATGTTAACATATACCACTTTCCGAAACACACTCTTCCATATCATAGTATACAAATTATCTTATTAGTTATAATAATAATAATAATATAGCCCCTTTATTCTGAAATTATTCAAATTACTATAGTTGAGTATGGATTAAGTTCACAATATGTCTCTAATTTCAGTGTGCCTCTTGACATAGGCCTCTTCTAAACATTTCCATTGGGTTCTGTCGTGGGCAACTCTCCTCCAATTTCCAAATTCCAAAAATTATTACTTATACCTTGCTTAAATAAATAGCTAAGTTGTAAGTTAATCATAAGATAAGTTCACTCACCGCACGCTATTAAAGTTAAGGAACACCGGCGCGCGGCGGAGTCTCCACCGCACTGAATATTTTATACAGTATCAAGATTTAGATAGTTGGATATCGTAGGAAACGATAATTAAATGTTAAATAATCCTAATCGTTTATAAATGAAGGTACACGATAAAAATATACAACTAATTGTGTCAATTACAATACATACCTATCTAACGTAGCAAGTTAAACATAGAAAGAATTATTCGCATTCCAAAAATGTAAAAGTAATAAAGTACATAATCTAGACCGACTGTACTCCTTTTTTTTGGTAACTGGGAGGAAATCTTCAAAACATGTTATGTGAGATTTCTATTTACTAAAACCCCCTCGGTGGCCGCCCTCAGGTGCGATTTGTGGGTCCCGGGATCTCAAGTGGAACGCACTGGTACCCTCTGCACCGTGTTGCTTTCGATGCTGCTTTTTTTGGTAAGACTGACTGTACTCCTATAACACTCCGGGGAAGTAAACAAATCTATACTATTTTAACAAAGTGGAAAACTTTGTTTGATTGTAATGAAATAACTCAAAAACTGCAGGCCCGATTTCAAAAATTGTTTCACCATTAAAAAGCTACGTTGTCGGTGAGTAACATAGGCTATGTTTTATATTATTTTTTAATTTTACGCGTATGGAGTCGCGAGCGAAAGCTAGTTGGATAACCTCACTCGACAAAATCGATTCAGTCGTTAATTCTTAAAGCCATCACAAAAGAACTTACATACATGAAAACAATCTTCCAAACACGTGAAAAACATAATTTTGATACAAGTGAAAACAATCAGAGATTCATCAAATTTATTAATCAGTGCTTTTGTTCGCGAAATCTATAGAAAACGTAAGTAATTGAAGGGCCTCGATTGATCCATTAGATACGCACTGGCAGATTTCCTATTTCCGTATCACAAATGAAACTCATCTATACCGATGTGTCCCTCTCGGTTACCCGGTGCTTTCATTTCCGCCTCCCAATGTATCTGTATACAATCTCGGTAATAGAATACATTTCTTACAAAACGTAATCTCCGCATCAAATGATTTCTGTCAATGTCGGGTATATTTTAACCACCACTATATTGGAAGGTCTCAAAACATTCTAGGAAGGAATAACATATCGTAGGTTAGTACTTAGTAGAAATATTTGTAAGGAAGCTTAAAATATCGACCAACATTATAAACTCATTAGAAAACATCGATTTATCTTTACACTATTTATCTAATGTAATTCATAGAAAAGTTACATTTTCTTTTATACCAGAAGCGATTTAATTTACCTTCTCACATAGGATATAATCCTAAATATGTCTCCCATCTATAAAATATGGTAATTTCATAAAGTAATATTTAAATTAACTAGTTCAAATTTTTGAGTTCATTCCATTTGTTCTCATACTGCAACTCCAACAATTGGGTCGACCGTCGCGATAGTTGCGCAACATTACATAAGTTGAATTTACGTAGAAAGTGATCACGTACATTGCTCGTTTTGTTACCTTACGTGTTATACTTATCGATTCTGGTCAGCTTGCTTCGCTGCGTCGTGAAGAAAGCAAACGTGGACGAACGCTCCTTTGGGAGTAACGTGACGTCATGTGTCTTTAAATTGGGTCGTGTCTAAATTACGATAAAACTTTAGTTTTATATTTAACGCATATAAAAAAAATGGCTTCGACTTAATGTAGAATGATTTCGAATAATTTATAACATAAGAAGAATTGACAATTACTTTCGTAAAATAAAACTATCTTGCTAATAAGAATTCAATGTTATTTTTCTAAAAAATAACAATTTTTGTTTAGTCAGTTAAGTAAATTCTCATACATATGGTTTACGAAATTTTGCAGCTTTTCTTTTACCTTATATTATAAATGCATAAGTTTAGATTGATGAATGGATAATTAATAGAGTTTACCGCTTAAATGGCTTAACGGATGTCAATGAAATTTAGCATAGATGTAGAGGCAACTTTTATTTTAAATTCCACTCCGACGGATTCGCGGGCGAAAGCTAGTAGTAAACATAATGGCTGAATGAAGATATATCAAATGTCTCGTTAAAAGTGACATCATAGTAATGAAATAGATCCAGTATGCATCGCATAATTCAATTCACTTACTTCATATAACAATTACCAGTTTCATCCTCATTGACGTGCAACACCACGCTATCACTTGAACGCATCATATTCACATTTATATGTCCAATTGTATGTTCTTTACGATTAAAATACAATAGCTCATCTTTTAATCCTACTACCGTAAGTAACGACCTTGAATATAAATTAGAACTTGACCACGATCCTAACATAAGTCTGAGTCCATGCAGTCCAAAGATGGGAAGCGTTAGTTTTATCTAAATATAATCTTTTGTAAATGGTCGTAAGTATAAATGTAGTTGTACCGATAGTAACTAGCCGGACTGTAATGTTGACGTCAATTATCAAACGTGACTTGTTAACAGTGTTTAACAATGTATATTCTACGTCTCCACGTAATATAGGACAAATTTTAACCTTTTTGCTTCAAGATCGACAAAAAAAATAGAAGTTATATTGGATTTGCTCATCCAAGCGCTAAAATATATCAAAGAGTCGACGTTCAAGTTGGATCCGTGAGC